ATGTATATATATGTATATAGAGGGAATGCACAGAACACAAAGAGACAAAGCTTTAGAAGAAAAGCTCTTAAAACTCACTGGATCAATAATCTGAGATGGGGCAAATAGTATATAATGTATATATGTATAATGTCAGTTTGTTTTTGCACAAAGTATTAGGTGTGGTATTAAACTAAAGTTTTTTCAGAAAAGCTTCAGACTGATAAGCATGCTGAAAGCTAATTGTAAAGTTTAATTTTTACAAAGTTAAATCACCAGAATCTAAAGATCCAGACCTTTTGGACTTGCACACTTTTCCCTAAATGAAATCTCCCCTGAAACCCATTGTGTTGCAAACAGACAGCACTGTAATGTCTGCTGGGCATGAGAGGAACATCACTGAGTCTTTTCCCTCGATTGATTTGATAACCTCACCTCAGCCTCTCGAACTCCACATCATCCACGAGGAAGTCTCTGGTCTCCACCAGCTTGTTGATCTGCTGCAGCAGCTCTTCCTCCCTCACCCTGTCCTCCTTGGACTTGTCATTGTCTGTTCAACAGTCACATGACAAGCTTAACGTAAAATACAGCAACAAGTGTCAAAATGATAAACTAGAATAGAATTGAATAAACTGGAATAGAACAGATTATTATTGCCCACTAGGGTGGAAATGTGTCTTATGCTCACCAAGCGAACGAAACATCAATAAATGAAACTACAATAAATAAAAAGCAGTCACGCAGTAAGTAAACAAGGTCATATAACAGAATAATACAGTAACACACAGTCACCAAAGTAACTATTGGAGCCATTTTTCACAAGCTACATATCTTTCGAACATTTTGACACTGAAATTGCATTTTCCAGACGAATAAATCAGGAGAAAATAAACTTTGTTCGAGACCTTTCTCTGTCTCAGCGACACACTCTAGTGAGATCTGGCAACTAACGCCCTAGCTAACAAAATGTTGTACTGCTAAATATGTTTGTAAGCTATGTAGATATCTAATGTTAGCAAAAGAAAATATGAATAAATTATGCAAATATGACTCAATCTGCTTACAGATCCACACCACATACACAACACTTCCGAACGAGGCGAGGATGCCGCAACCACTTCGGAGACAGGAAGTGTGTCCCATTTCTAAACTTTGGCGGAGCTTATAATGCGTTATTTATGTTATAGAGCATCTTTGGCTGCGTTTAGGCACAGCTCAATGCTAACCTCGGCAAGCTAACATGCTCACAGTGACAATGCTAACATGCTAATGTTTAGCATGCATACAACCTTTACCGTGTGAGCCGCCTTAGTTTAGCGTGTTGGCATTGTAAAGATTGAGTGTTATCGGTTCACAGCAGGCCAACATTGCTAGCCCTAGAGCTATGCAGCTAGCATGGCTAAATCTCCTATATCAAAGGCACTTTACAGTATTTGTTAGGTGTATAACCACTTCTGTTCTTATCTCTTTAGCTGCCACAACAAACTTCTTCTAAAGCAGAGCCATTTTATTTTTAATTTCCTCTTTTATTTTTTCAGTAACATTTCCCATTCTGGTTCAAAAATCTCTTTTCCAAGATGGCACCATAAAAAGTTTCACATAAAAGAACGTATTGTATCATAAATTATATAGTTATACAAATGATTTAATAAAAATTCAAGTGGAAAAGGGGATCATTGTTCTTTGAAGTCTCTATGTGTTTGAGGTGAAGTCATTATTTTTATTCACGACCAGCCCATTCTGAGGATGTGTTGGATTCCCTCCACTCCTCATCACAGAAGGGATTGCTGGTCAGAGAAACATTTTCTATATTTTTTTCAAAGATAATAAAGCAAATAAAACCCATATGCAGCACATCATAAGTGAAATGCGTGCTCATTAAATAAAATGAGACTGCTTTTTTTAATATACCTGGAATAGAGACAAGTTTCTGAAGCTCCGTCTTCAGTCTTGTGATTTCTTTGCAGAGCTGGATGTCATCCATCCTGAGCAGAAAACAAACAAACCATGAATAGATATTTGCAGGAAAGCAGGTGTGAAAAAACAACAAACACAGAATGGATTGTATATAACCGCAGCAACCCAATTTCCTTCCTAACTATACATACAAACATCAGTGTGAAATTGTAGGAGCTTATCAAACAGAAAAACACTGGACTGAGATGACAGCGAGGTCCGTGAGTTCATTAACTGGAACAACACCGCCACGCTGCCCTCTGTGAATGAATCACACCTGACATTATCAGATCTCATTTCACCGTCTGACTCTGAAGCAGATTTCAAAACATCAGGAGCCGTTCACGCAAGTGTGTGTGTGTGTGTGTCTCTAAATGTGTGTGCGTGTGTTAAAGTGATGGCAAAAAGAGGGAAATGACTGTGAGAGCAATATGTACTCTGAGCTGTTGGTTTAATAAAACAGGCTTCACTTTGGTGTACTTCAGCAGGATATATCAGGATGACTCATATGCTGCCAGGAGTGTTATTTTTTCAAAATGTATTTGCATTGGAGTTTTCTTGTTTATGTCACAGTCAGACTAAATGATTTCAGTAGTAAAACGACAGCAGGACGGTCAAATAGAAGCTGCGTTACAAATCACATACTTTCTCTTTTTACTTTCCTAGTACATACTGCAGCTTCTCCGAACAAAGTACATACTGTTGAATGCAGTACGCATTTAATTGGGACATACTTCCTCAGCATGCAATGCCTGTGATCTATGTATGTAATAAAATGTATGTTTTTATCTGTCTATTTTTCTTATCTTCTGCGGTTGCCCACGTGACATGTTAGTTTGAATGCATGTATTTTGCTGTTTCTTATTGACAATTTGTGAAATTGTACATGTGCAATTTGTGAAATAAAAAAAACATACTATATCTGCGTTCCAAATAGCATACCTTTTTGTTTTTACTTTTAGCACATACAACATCTGACCTTACAAAGTCGGTTACCCGGTTTGCCGTCTACTGTCGCTGATTCCATGTTAATTCAGCACAAGAGTCAACAGCCATGCTAGCAGCTATGTGACACTGCTAACACGTCGATGTTTGGCAGGTATAACGTAATGTAGTGTGTAGGTAGGTTAGCATTTGCTAATTAGTAGTCACATCAGTCTGGACCCCAAGTGGTGGACCAACAGACCAAGACTGCCATCTGTAGAGCCATGCAGCTAGTGACGCTGAAGATATTAATCATTCTAAGACAGTGGAACACATACAGTACATGTAAAATGTAATGTACTAACAGGAATAGTTTCACATTTAGAATGATTTGCTTTCTTGCAGGGAGTTATATGAGAAGATTGATACCACTCTTATGTCTGTACGGTAGATATAAGGCTTTAGCAGGTTAGCTTAGCTTAGCATAAAGACTGGAAACAGGGGGAAACTGTTAGCCTGGCTCTATTCAAAGGTAACACAATCTACCTACCAGCCTCTCTGAATGTTATATCTCATTTGATTAATGTGTACAAACAGGCTAGCTGTTTCTAGTCTTTGTGCTAAGCTAAGCTAACCGGCTGCTAGCTCTAGCTTCCTCCTTAGCGTACGGACATGAGAGTGGTATTGATCTTCTCATCTAACTCTCAGCAGGAAAACCAAAAAAATGATATTTATATTATAGTTGAGCTTCATTTTCTGCCTGTGCTGCAGTTGATATAACACACATCAACACCTGCAGGGAAACAATCTATAATTGGGAGCTGGATCGTGCATCACTTTTCACCCTCTGGATGCGGATGGAAGTGAGAACATGATCATGAACCGCCAACACTTATCGGATTAGTCATTTTGAAGGCATAAAAACAAAACCCCCCCGAGCAAAAGTCATCCTCCGTTTCTCCGATTCATCATATGGTCACATTACGCAGTGCTGGTGGCTGTTCTCAGTCCCTACTCCACCACCTCCATCCTCGTGTGTCAAAATAATGAGGACGGTCTCGACAGAAAAAGCGCGTAAAAATGAAAGGAAAGGATGAGAGGGAAAGGAGCAAAGGGTATCTTTTTAGATCAGAAAAAAACCTGATCGTGTGTGTGTGTGTGTGTGTGTGTGTGTGTGCTGGTAGTCTGCTAAGACCTCAAATAGCACTGCTGTTTTCTTCACACACTTTGCCATCATGCACATGACTGCTCCCAGTGTTTGTCACCGACAGTCACGGTGCATCATCTCATATTCCTGAGAGACTGCTGACAGTATCTTGGAGTATTCAGATCCCTGTACAGCAGAGAGCTTTACTCTATGTGTCGGTGCAGTGGAACATCACATGATAAAGGAGAAGCACGTATTATCATCTTGGGTCTAATGTCATTGCTGTGTGTCAGTATCCAATCCCTTTTTTTTTTTTTTTTTTTACTCTCATATATGGTTTTATTCAGACTAAAATTGTGCAATTGAAGAAACAGGTCTTACATGTATCTGAGCTCCGATTCCCTCCGGACCAGGATGTCTCTTATCCGCTCAATTTTGCACAGCTCTCCTTCAATGTCCTCGGTCGTAATTGTGGAGTCAGCCATCGAAATTACATCCTCTGCTGGAAGACAGGCAAGAGCAAAACACCATTATTTGGTTCTGATCATGGCATTGGGAGTTTGTACAGACTTGTGTGTGTGTGTGACTGGCTGCCGTCATCAAACAAGTGACACAAGCACCATAAGGAAGCACATTCTGTAAACTGAAAGCCACAAATTGATTGTGAAATTGACTTGAAATTGAGGCTGGCAATTCCTTCCACTGGCATTACTCACTGGAACACTTAAAGGAACTGAGCCATCATTAAGGACATTAGTTAGAGCTGTGTTTTTGCTGCAATAACAAGTTAAATGTTGCATGTGAAAAGGGTGGGTTTGTTTCTCAGTTCCACCAGCAGCGTCCACACAGATTCAAACCGAACCGACAGAGAAGATCATCATTTTCAGAGAAAAAGCACAGTAGTAGGCCATACACTGAATTATTGAACATGGTTTTACAATTGGAAACAATAGCTCAACATCATTGGGATATACGCTTATTTGCTTTCACACAGAGTTGGAGAAGATTAATGCAGCTAGCAGCCGGCTAGCTTAGCTTAGCATAAACATTGGAAACAAGATGAAAAAGCTAGTCTGACTCTGTCTAAAGTGTCTGACAAAATAACACATTTTACTTTGTTTGTTTGCTAAGCTAAGCTAGCCAGCTACTTCATATTTTATTTTCTTCTCTCTTTTTCCATGTTGTTCAAAAAAACTTTCCCCCCTTTTTCAGACACTCCGCGCAGAACAAAATAAATGTATTTTAATATTTAGCGTAGAGACATGATGGTGGTATCGATGCTCTTGTCTGTCCCTCTGCAAGAAAGCAAATGATCCTATCGCCCAAAGCTATTGCTTTAAATCTTTAAATCTCTGTGAGCACCATACTTTGAAAGTTCTGAGTAATTCTGAGAAAGGTGGTGATTAAAAATAAATTGAATCCTATAGTGTAACTGTCCATCTTTCCGTTGCACCTCAAGTGTGAAATTGCTAAATTGGAGTAATTTATTGCATTCATTATGTCCAATAAACCACATGTGTCGGTTGTCAAGGTTCCCGAGAGACTCTGGAAACTCACGGAGGAAATCTTAAAGTAAACAGAGGCAAACACCAAAAGCCCATTATTGAGACAGTAAACCCTACAATGATCCTAGTTCAGCTTTAAACATTTAAAGTGCCCTGGCTCAAATTCACCATCCTGCTGTGATCTGATCACAGCTCTGTGGATACTCCCCCCCCCCCCCCCACCAGTAATTCTTCAAGCATCACTGAATAGCTGCACTGCCTCCCCCTGCAGCCTCCCACTCCTCACCGAGAGCAATGAGTCATCCAGCAGAGCTCGGATCGGCACACAGAGGAATAACAGAGAACCGAGGACTGAGCCCCGAGGAACACAAATAAAATCTCATCATGCAGCTATAAGGTGTCTCCATTTTCAGGGATGGATTTCTAAATTGGCCAACCGGGTACAGGGGCCCGAAGTGTCAGGGGCCCCACTGGCCTTCACCTACAAAATGTCACTAAGAGACACGAACCAACCAGGAAGAGACTCAAAATGACCACGAAAAAACACAAAAACTACTACAAAAAGACACAAAACAACACATAAAGAGGCAAAACCACCACAAAGTCTGTGTCTTTTCTCACAATCACCCATTAACTGTAATTCCCTGACATTTTACTCGGAATTTTCCTGGAATAAAAATATGAAATTTGTTCATAATTATGAGGAATATAAGTACAAGGAAAAACAAAAAGGTAAATACATTTGTTATTAATTACTGGATCGTTATTCTTCATAATGTTGAATTTCCTGCTGCGATGTCAAGCTCTAGAAATTTATTTAAATTAAAGATAAAACGAGATCAAATTAACTGATTTGTTGATTGTCAGAAAAATAATCTGTCACTATATTGAGAATCAATTAATCGTTTAATTAATCAAATATCTTGTTCCAGCTTCCAAATAGGATAACAAGTTTATTTATATTTAATGTGACTAAACTGAATATCTGTTTCTATTTTGGACTATTGGACAAAACAAGCTATTTGACTGAGGAAATTGTGACATATATTCCACTATTTTATCATTATCTATCAACTGCATTTGGGAATTACAGACCAGGTTACTTTTTTTCCTTCTATATCTTTAAATTTGACTAAAGATAAAAACAAGTGGAAGAGTTTTTTTGGCAGTGTGGAAGAAGGCTCTTAGAGAACAGGCATCAGACCATTAGGTCGCCATTGAGGGTTAATTAAAAAGATTAAGCAGAAGAATCTTCCCCTTCACAACTAACGGGTTTACAGGTCTACTGGGTCTAACCCTGCTGACGGACACCTTCACCGCTCAGTGAACTGAGAGGATCTGCAGGGACCTGAAGCTTTCCTTCTCTCGGATGAAAGTTGTGATGTGGACACAGACCCCCTTCTTTCTCCGATTACTTCCCACTGCAACACACGATCCACGCGCGCATCCAAAGCTGCTCAAAACTCACTTGATTTCTCCGCCGCTCCTTCCACCTGCGTCTTCTCCAAAGAGTCGTACTGCTTGGAGGATCTTCTCTCTTTTTCCATATTGTTTTAAAAAAAAGAAGCTTTCCCCCCCTTTTTCAGAAAAAAAAAATCAAATAAATGTACGTGCAGCCAGAAAATGTCTATAGAAGGTATCGACTAAGTCCATGCAGCAGTGCTGTAACGTATAACGGGAGGAGAGCTCCTGCACAGAGGTGGATGTGAGCGCGGAAGGAGCTGAGGCAGCGGATGTCCGCTGCAGGGCGCCACCTGCTGGGCAGACCCGCACCAGAACTACCGACTAAAGAGAAGGACAATTACATTTGAACAGTGGAGGGAGAAGTATTCAGATAATTTACTGAAGTAAAAAAAAAACAGCACTCTGTGAAGTGTCTAAGTATTATGAGCACAATGTACATGTTCCCTGTTGGTGTTTATATATTAAATACGAGGATTAAAATGACCATTAATGTGCATGTTGCACGGCTGGAGATGTTTTCAGCTTGGAGACGATGGTTTTTCCAGCTGATCCAAGAAGCTTTTTGAATAGTTTATATAACTTAAGAAGTAGAGTTTTCTCAACACATACAGGGGACACTTTATGTAAATTGATGGTTATTCACTGGACGGGAAGAGTATAATAAAATTGTAATCTTAAAAGTAACTTAAAGGTGTCAGACAAATGTAGTGGAGTAAAAAGTACAATGTTTGCCTCCGAGATGTATGTGGAGCAGGAGTGGTGAATTACATCAAATGTACGAATGTGCACTTATGTGTACTTAAGTTCAGTGTTTGAGACATTCCACCACTGCATTTGACGACTACTCGTAAGTGAATTTGTTTCCCGAGCAGGGTAAACGTATATGGAATCAAATCAGGGACCCAACAGGTTTTAATAAACAGACATCTGCCATTATAACGGTCTGCTGCTCTCTAACCGCTCTACAACCACACTGTCCACAGGAGAATGGAGCTGCCTTTCACCAGGACGATGGGGGGGGGGGGGGGCAATGAGTCTGCAGGTATTTCTCTGGAATCACATGATTCGGATCAACCATGAAGAGTATCTATTTATTTCAACTACTGGAGAGGAGCTAATGCTGGAGTCACAGATGCTACTCTTCACTAACAGGTTGAAGACTTTCAAATACAACAGAGACATACAGAAGCTCTGTGGAGGAAAGAAAACGACACATTTAATTCACATTTTGCATTTTTTTTTAACTTGAGACAACGCGTCAGAAAAATAAACTCACTTTGGAAATGCAGATTAGACGAACACGTCACAGCTTCATGACACCAGAATCTTACGACACAGTTTTAATGTGCTGAGCTCCCTGCAGTTAAACAACCCTTGGTTAATAGTATCATCAGTTCACACAGAGTCCAAACAGAGTCCAAACCCCCCCCCCCACAGTGGAGGACGACAGAGACTTTAGCTGTAGATAAACAGACTGTGTGGGTGTGGTGGAACAGGAGGCCATCCTAGTCCAGCCTCACCTTGTGCACACCTCTGGTGTTTACACTCAACAGAAAGAGGCTCAGTGTTTCTGTTGAGTCCTTCTGCCCGCCCTTCATTCTGCTTCTTTGTTTGCTTTAGAATAAACTAAATCGCTCATGGTAACGTTCATTTGTGAAGGCTCAGGTGGCACAGAGATGAATCCTCGAGTCCATCAGAACAGCTGATGAATCTTATGAGCACTGATGAGAGTTAAATATATCATGAATATATTATTTCCACACTGATAGAAATTATTCTATGTAAATGCATTCTATGTAGGCTACTGCACTCTCTGAAGCGTCCTTTACTCTCACACTGCAGAGGTTAATGGTTTATCCTCCGTCCATAGTTGTTGTTGCTGCTGCGGCTTCTGTCGTCATCCATCGCTCTTTCCAGCCAGTCTCTCTCCTGGTCAGACTCGGAGTCGCTGGCTTCGCTCGCATCCGCCGCCAAAAGCCGAGAGTAGTTGATCCTGCGCTGGCGGGGGGCACTCCACTGGAGCAGAGGCAGGCACGCGCACCACGCCATCAGGCCCACCGCCGCTCCTCTGAACAGCCACGTGAGCCCGAACCTCTGGGCCACGAAGCCTCCGGCGAAGCTCCCCAGCCCGTTTCCCAGCTGCAGAGAGAGTGCAACGTAGACCCTCCTCACGCTCCTCTCGGCCCCCGGCGGGGCCACATCCTCGCACTGGACCCTCACGGCCCACCAGAGGGCCCCGCCGCTGAAGCAGCTCAACACCTGGGCGGGCGCCGCGGCCCACGGCCCCCAGAGGAAGGAGTAATAGAAGCACTGCAAGCCGAGACTCGCGGCTGCAACGACGAGCACCTGTCCCGAGCTGGGGAGTTTGGAAAACCGGCCGGCCAGCAGAGGGAAGACGGCCTGCGAGACATGGGCGACGGCTAGAGACATCCCCATGTGCAGCTCGTTGCTCCCGTGGTCCTGCATCTGCCACAGGAGGAAGTTGTCCACGGCGGACCCCGCCACCCCGGCAAGCAGGGCGGTGATGGCGCAGAGCAGTGCGCGGGGGGAGCCGTGCACCAGCCGCACGGCCTTGAGGAGCCCGTTGGCCCGGTCTCGCTTTTTGTTCAGGTAGAGGGGGAGGTACGCAGCCACAGGGAGGGCCGCGGCTGCCAGGGCGGCGTAGCAGTAGAAGTGCACCGCGCTCCTGGAGACCCCGCCAGCTACGAGGCAGCTCAGCCTGCTAACCAGCAAGCCCGCTCCCCCGACCCCACACGCCGCCCCGAGCAGACCCCACACCCCGGTGCTGCCGTAGCGGTCTGAGGCATCGGCGGAGTCCAGATACTCATACAGGCCGTCGTCTGCGGTCCACTCCAGAGGGGCTGACGCGCACTCCCACACCAACACGATGATGAGTGTCAGGAAGAAGAGCCAGTGTTGAGGGTCCATCGCCTTCAGGCTGCCCAGAAAGTCAAAACGCCTCTCCTTTTCCCCCGTCTTTTCCTCCGTCTTCCTTTCTCCAAGCTGCTCTTCTGACCCCGAGCTGTACTTTGACCTCTTACTCCTCACTGGAGCTGCCGAAGAGGTGGTGGGGTGCTGCATAAAGGAGCCGCCGACCTCCGGTTCTCCAGCACTGTCGTTGACCACCACTGATGCATTCAATGCTGGCAGCTGAGGATGGGAATGATTATGATGAGAATGATGATGATGATGAAGTGCGGTTTTAGTATCGGAAAGTGTCTTCGCAGTTGAAGTGACCCCGGACTGGGAGACGGGAGCCGTGTTGGTGTGAGTTCTAGCTGAGGGTACGGAGGGTGCAACGCTGCTCCCGAGCAGGTCTCCACCCAGACTTTGGGTCGGCCCGCCACGCGGATCAGACACGTTACAGCTGCCGGCCTGCGGGCGCACGTCCGTCGGCAGGACGAGCAGCAGGACCAGAGCCGCCGCTGCCGAGCACACGAGAGAGCCGTTTATCACCACGCGCCTCTTGTCGTAGTGCTTGGAGAGCAGGTTCGCCACGGGGCTCCACACCAGCGACACGAGGTGCTTGGTGCCCATGACGACGCCCGTCATCGCGGGGGACAGACCCAGCTGTCGGAAGTACAGGGTGAGGAAGGGGAGCAGGCAGGCTCTGGCGCACGAGCACAGGAAGTTGAAGGCGCTGGCCAGAGCGAGGGCCCGCCGGATGTCGATCTGCTTGGTCCTCTTCATGGTCGGAGGCTCACGGTCTCACTTGGTGGGTTTCACATGGAGCCCCTGGTGGGTTTAAACTGGGAGACGGAGAGACAGAATACAGGAAACACAGCACATCAGAGTAATCAATACTTGGCCTTAAATGCAATTTGTTTTCTATCAATAAATGTTCTTTCTAGGGCTACAATTATTGTCTTCATCAATAAACCTGTTAATTATTTTTCATTGAATCGATCCGTCTATGAAATGACTTCCCAGATTCCTACAGGCGACGCCTTCAGATGTCAAAACCAAGAACATGTTTAATTCACAACGCTGTGTGACACAGAGATGCAGCACATCTTCATTTTTCATAAAAGGTTTGGCACTTTTTCACTATTTTTGCTTGAGAATTGAACGGATTGTCAGAGTAGCTGCAGTTACACGATGCACTTTGGAGCTATCTGCACTTAAAAAAGTGAAAGCATGAAAGAGCCAATGAACAAAGACTGAGGATACAGATATTCCCAAAACCCAAACCACAGTCATCCTAGTTCAGTCTATTGTTTTTTTCAAAACAAATGATAAGTTATTGCATAGATTGAAAATGAAATGTAATTATTACATTTCATTTTATTATAGACACAATACAGTACTAATTAAAATACATATATAATATAATAAATGCATTAAGTTGTATGTTTCCCAAAAGTCCAATGAATATTCTTAACTTTAAAATGCGGAAACATGCAGAGAAAACAAGGAACAAGGCGGCGCATACGTTAACACCTGCTACAAAATGCAACTGTTCCCTGCAGCGTATGACGATGTGGAGTCCACGTCACATCAACTTTGTACAAACTAATTTACCTTTTGAACTCTGCCCCTTTGTTGGCTTCTCCAAAACTTTTCTACCGGTCACCTTCCACCTCAAACTCCGGCATTAGATCCACGTTTTGGTCTCTTTTGTGTTTTGAGCAGCGGACACCTGTTACCTTCTGGACGGTGAGCGCACTCAACTGTGTGCGAGTTTACACCTGGAGAGCCAGTCGCGCGACCACAGCGCCCCCTAACGGTGCGGATGCCTCTGTGCACCGCAGAGAGAGAGAGAGAGAGAGAGAGAGAGAGAGAGAGCGAGCGCGCGCACTGGAACACAATCTAAAAAAGAGAAGACGTGCAGCGTGGTGCATTTCCAGGTGTGAGAGAAAAGAGCACATTCATGTCAACAACTTTCCCATGTGCAAATAAAAGCCACTTATTCAGTCGATAGATAGTATATTCACCACGTTTTCAAATTCAGCACACATCGTCTTCATCCTTATATGCGTTTCCTCGTTTCAAACAGAGAACTTGTAACAGCAAATGTGTGATTTTAATGAACTCAGCAAATTCATTCCCCTAATTACTACAGGCTGTGTAATAAAACACATAATAATACAGCTTCCAAACACACAGGCTTCAACAATGCATGCATGACTTCCAATGATTTAATCAGTGGTGGGTGAAGTATAAAGATATTTTACTTGAGTGAAAGTACGGATGTGTTAACAGCAAAATATACTGTTCTGTGTATAGTGTATATTATTGAAATATTATGATTATACAGATGCATTTTTAGTGTTCTCAAGGTTATAATTTGAACAACTGTACTCTTTAGTTTAGTTTAGTGCATCGTGTTTTATCAACCGTATCATTTATTTTACAAGTAAAAACTTAATCTGAAAAGTAACTATTTGTGAAATAAATGTAGTGGAGTAAAAGAGAAGCACCCACCCTCTGGTTCCCCTTCAACTAAACACTGTTGGCTCTGTTGTCGTTGTTTGCACTGTTAGCGCTGTCAGCACCGTTAGCTGCTAGCCGCCGACTCAGCCGTCGCCATGTTGAGAGCCGTGTGGAGGCAACAGATATACTCCAAATTTTGTATTAAGCACCTTTAAGGATGTGTTTTGTTCTAGTATTATAACTAGTTTACAAGTATAAAAACATTTGATAAACTTAGATTTTGAAACACACTTTGGTTTTCATAGAGCATTATATACAGCAGCATGCATTATCTGCACACCTGAAGTAGACAGCTCGCATCTCTCAGGGGGTCACACCAGTGAAGGTGTTGATTGGCAGGTACAGGACTTTGTCTAGATATTTACTGAACAGCAGCTCTTGGTCGGAACTGGACCCGATGCTGCATCCTGGTTTCAAGCACGGAGAAATTACTACCCTGTAGAGAGGAATGACATTACATTGTACCACTTTCAATCTGTATAAGGTGCAGAGATAACGTAAAACAGAAATGCTGCGGCGTTGTAGATGACCTTTGAACATCAGTGTACGTACTGCGGGAGTCCTTGTCCAGACACACAGAGAGGGTTCGATGCTGCAGCGCCTTGATGCTGATGTTCTGGGTTTGGATTGTCTATAATCAAAACAGAACAGGTTTAGAAAGCTGCTTTAAATGTTCACTTACAATATAAATATGACTGAAACTTGTAATAATATCTATATATGTTCCTAAGAAAAAGTGATTAACTTCTTACTGTGTTGTTTCCTGGGTTCACACTGTGAAACTCGACAGTAAGGTGATCTTTGCCTACACAGAGTGACAATGGATTATTCATTGCATGACTTTCATTGACATAAATCTGTGAGCTATGAATATAAATGCAAAAGGTTAACCTGATGTTACAGCTGCCGGCTCTGATGTAATCACCACGCCACACGTCATGGGTGCTTCTCCCTTTGCAACTTGTCGTTTGCTTAAAGAGATCTGTTGCGGATTTTCATATCCTGCTGTTGATGCAAATACTAAATAGAAAGTATTCATAGTGGCTGATAATAGTTAGGAATGTACCTCTGTGTAACTGACTGAGATGACCGACCCAAAGACTGCCACTGTCGACTTCTTTCGGCGTACACCGGGCTCCTCTGTCAAAGACATCTCGCTTTAACCATATAATGTTTGCACAGTCATGGCAGTATCTATACACACACACACGCACACACTCGCACACACACACGCACAGAAAGAGATTCAAAAACATACTTGTGGATTTTTTTTTAAGGTGTCTGAACTCTGGGATGTCGACCTCCAGGTGGGCCACAAACACCTCCTCCACCACATCACAGCTGGAGCGGGTCATCAAAACACATACTGGAGTTAGTCAAAGTAGAAACTTTTGTTTGTCTGTTCGACTCACATAGATCCTCTTCGTCTTTCCACAAGTGGAAGTTGATCTTAGGATAAAGCATTGCAGTGCTGAACACAGAACTGTGATTGAGCTCGGTTTGTTCTGAGAAAACAGGGTGAGGGTTAACACGGCAACCCTGTCACGATCTCTAATACCAATGGGTGCTCCAACAGCAGAGCAAATAATACACACCTTCTTTAGAGGCAGTCAAGATGTCTCTGTATATGTGTTGTAGTCTGTTCACATAGTTTGCACGACCACCTGCACCATGCTTCACACTCTTCTCCACGGCTAGAACCACTTCCTGGAAATACGTCTTCACCATATGTTCCCCTAAAGCCTAAATTACACAAAAGACACAGTCTGATTAAAAAGAAAAACAATGAGAAATATTGGTACAGATAAATATATGATTTTTTTATGTAGTTCAGTGAGAAATTTTCCCCATGCAAGCATCTATCAGCAAGAGTCTACAGCCGTGCTAGCTGTGAGACTGCACAGCAGTGCTTTGACATAAATGCTAACACTAGCATGGCAAAGTGCTCACAGTGACAATGCTAACATCCTAATGTTCAGCAGGTATAATGTTTACCATGTTCACTGTCTTAGTTTAGCGTGTTAGCATGCTTTTTGGTATTGCACTAGCTTTCTGCTAATTGACACTCAAGTGCAACTGAGGCTGAGTGAGCCAGGGGATCACTAAAGCCAATAGGATCCATCCTCTGGGAACCATGAATGTCTTTACAAAGGTTTGTGCAAATCGATCACGGAGATGTTGAGATATTTATCAAGATAAGTGAACATTTTGACATGCTGGTGGTGTTAGATGAAATGTAAAGTAAGGGGATCACCAAAGTGTCCAGTTCATTCTTCTGGGGACCATGAATACAGCATTTTAATGGCAGTTTGAAAAATAGATGTTGAGATATGTGAGCTGTTCAATCAAATGACTGGCATTACCATCCCTATAACCATCACTTCTAGCATGGCTAAAAAAAATATCCTTCTTACTTTGACCAAAACATCTTCATAAACTTGCTTACCTCCAGAGCCTGAGCCAACCTGGAGCTTTGGCAGGTCGTCCCCAGTCCCGTCTGCAGCGCATGCAGCACCATATTTCTCTTCAAAGTTGACGTGTCCCTGAGAAAGCTGGACGCCTCCAAGTGTGTTCTCACTGCTGCTTCCAGTGGAGCAGAAAACACAGCTGGGTCAGCAAGCACAAACACCCTGGAGGAAATCAGCCAACAGGGAAGGAACAGTTTAGCCAGTGTTAAACTTTTGAGACAAGTTGATTGACATTCAAACGACATACTCACTTTTCCTGCAAGGTGAAAAGCTCATTCTTCAAGTTTTGCTCTCTCTCTAAGGAGCCTGATGATGGAAGGATTAGTCTGTCAAGAGTTTTTTTTATTTTGCATCATACTAAATCAGATGTGTTAATAGCTCAACACAAGTTGTGTGAATTCCCAACACACTAATGTGTCTATACAAGGACCACGCATGTTGTGTTACTTTTAACACGACAGTGTTGAGAGTTTTTTACATTACAGTCATTTAGCAGACGCTTTTATCCAAAGCGACTTACAATTCAGAGTCTATCACGCTTCTACACCGTAGGCACAGCTACAGGAGCAATTTTGGGGTTAAGTGGCCATGCGACTAGCAGAGCCGGAGCCGGGGATTGAACCGCCGATCCTCTGATTGAAAGACGGCCCAGCCACAGTAGCGCCAGTTTTAACACAAGTTAAGCGTGAGTAGAGATGTTGTAGTAGCGATGTGATTGGTCAATGGTTTAACAGATGGTGTGTGTGTTCAATGTGTCTGCTTGGTAATAACCTTATATACAGTAGGTAATAACACAAACATTGGGCCAGCCATCAACACATTTGTATTAAGAGTGTTGTCTGTGGTCGTTTTCAGCTTTCTGTACACGTGTGCATTGATGCATGATACCTGGTGTGGTCATTTCCATCTTGATGCTCCTCAGAGTGCTCAGGGCCACAGCAGAGTAAGGAGACGGTAATATCAGCAGTTTCATCATGCACTCATACACCGTCTGGTAAACACTGGTAGGAATCATGACACCTGACTGGAAAGGTAAGTACAGAAATAGCAAAACAACAAGACAGAAAAAACTACTGATAATGCACAATCTGTCTGTTTGTCTGTGCTGTTATACTCGTTTTGTCTTAATCTGCATGTTTCCAACTGTAACAAGCGCTTCCAGCTTCTTATAAAGACTCCATCGTATCAGACCTGCAGAACCAGAGTAGTTTGCTTTATATTGTAGGATATGTAGTGTACATATAGTTTATATTTGCCTTTAAGTGCCTCATATTCCCTCAGTTATAGCTACCTTTCTCCCCGCGCTTTGGCCGCTCATCTCTTTCAGAAGAGCCTGGACGGTTTTGTACACGCTGGACTCCACAGTGGAGAGAGCTACGCTAGCTAGAAATGAAGATCATACATGTTATTGTTTTAATAAACACATTCTACTACACCAAGTGTTAACCAGTTAAACAAGTTTGGCTCACAGTCATTTTGACAAAAAGAAAACACTTACTGGTACGGTCAACCATCATTCTGCTCTTCAGGGTCTCAGGATAGCTGTGATTTCAGCACCGTGTGCTCCCAACAAGATGGAACACTGAAAGACAGTCTGCCGTATTCACCTTTTCAACAGATTTAATGTTCTGTTAAATGTTCTCCGCTGCTGCAATCTTTGGGGGAAGTTATCAATGGCATGTAGTTGTTACAGTGTGAGTGAGACCGGGTGTGAGTGACTCATAGGAGGAAGTGTCTTAACCGGGAAAACAAAGAATAAACAGAAGAGACTGAAGTGTGATTTTATTAGTTGTGTGATATAAACCTATTTTCTGAAAAAAAATGTAAAAAGTACAACAACAAAAAACAACATGTTTTCATCACTATCACTTCAAAAATAAATAGATTATTTTACACTTTTTTTAAAAGTATTTGACTCTGTCATCAACAGAACGTACACAGTAGTAATCATGGAATTCGTTTTATGCTACTGGCAGCAGATGAGTGATGTAAACCCTGCTAGGGAAGATAAGAAAAAAAACAGTCACACACTCCATCCATCAAAATGTGGCACACCTTGACATCAGCTACAGGATAAACCTGATATACATTTACATATGTAGGGAAATACATGTCACCCTTATTACAAGTTCTGTTTGTTCTCTGCACCTTGTTCACTATCTATTCAGTATGTAAAGTCTGCGTCCCGCGTTGCTTTGGTTCAAACAAGCCGGGATTCGTTCAGCGCGGTACAAAGTGTGTCAGGGATACGAGGCCGAGAAAGAGGTGACGGGGAGGCAGAGCAGGGAGCAGTAGGACGGGTGCAGGGGCTGGACTTGGCCAGGTGAGGGCTTGTAGGACCTCCAGTCTGAACTGCTTCCTGGTTTACAGCACAGAGACACCTCGCACCTGCAGAAGAGAAGAGACAGCATCACTGCATGTGGGTCTGATAAGTGCATGCACGTGCTGTGACTCTAACTTTAGGGGAAACGCAGTAACGGGAAGTTATTAAGTACATTCAAATATGTATTATGTCAGTTTATACATTTACTTCACCACATTTATTTGGATTGAAGGAAAGACAGCAGTGATGATGCTGATAATGTTAATGTCAACTCTGATAATGATTCCGCGACAGCCCTAATAGTTCCAAAAATATCAAACTATTGCTTTGAGTAGGAGTTTGAATTTAGGACATTCATTGTAAGGGGGTATCTTCACATTGTCGTGTTGGATCTTTTACTCAAGTAAAGGTTTGATGATGTGATACTCAGTGATGATGCACTTGTACCTGGTGACACTTTGGATGAACTTCTTCTCGTCCTGATCCAGACACACGGCGAAAGTTGTCCCGTCCTCTCCACCGTCCACCTGCACCTTGTCCACCTTCACCTCTGATATGGAGATGTGCTGCCAGGGGGAGGGAGGGAGGGGGAGGGGAGGGAGGGAGAGGAAGTGTGAGGAGACTGCGTTCCGAAGGGAGAGTGTGCATGAGACTATGTTTAATGTTTGATTTCAACCCTTCACCTGGTTGTAGCCCTTTTTCGACTTGGAGCTCTGCCTCTTCAGCACTTCTGTCATTGTCAGCTGCAGACTTTCTATTCTTGTATCTGGACAGACAAGATTCAACGTGCTTAGACAAAAAATAAATCAATTGCTGGCACACAGTTAAAAGCCTTGACTTTCCCTGTCACACACCTAGCTGCTCCGGTTTCCAGCAGGCTTTGTAAAGATTTATCGATGTGCAAACCACCTCCGTCTGGATCCACTGACTCCTCCCGCTAACAGCCACCTGTAGGCGGGTGTAGACGAGAAGTGTGTACAAATAGCTCATGCTGCGTTATTGTCTGTGTTCTGTGGGAGTCAAAGCAGGAAGCATACCTTGTTGTAGGCAACGCTGAGTGTTAAAGGGACAGCCTCCCGTTCTTCATCAATCCCAAACCTTTTGCTGGCAGAACCTACGAAAAGACACATTAGACTATGTGTGTGTGTGTGTGTGTGTGTGTGTGTGTGTGTGTGTGTGTGTGTGTGTGTGTGTGTGCGCGCACACGTGTCTTTATGCTGTTGTGGTTGTCTGAGTGTATCTGTCAGAGTGTGACTCACCCATGGCCTTAACCGCTCTGGTTCCAGCAGTGTGCCCGAGCTCCAGAGAGTGAATAAACACTTCCCTTCTCTTCTCTCCTCCAGCCAGGGTCAACTGTGTAGGGGAAGAAAACAAAAACAAAAAATCAGGTGTGTGTGTGTGTGTGTGTGTTTGTCTGTGTGTGTGTGTGCGTGCTCTTCTCACCTCAGCCTGGTAGAGCTGCACCAGAACCGGCTGGTCTGCATGTCGACAGTAATAAAGCACCAGGTCAGCCAGCAGGGGGAGAGTCTCCACGCTGCTCACTGACTCATCGCCGTCCTTACAGGCAGTCTGGCTCATAGAGAACACACGTGTGGCTTTCAGACAAGGTGAAGACAATCCTGAAGTGGTAAAATATCACCTTTGTGTGCGGTTAGATTTCAACATAATAATTAATCATCATTAGTCTAATCAAGTGTCTTCGGGCGAATAGAATCATACTAGTGTGTCTCTTGCTACAACAACAGAATAAGGTCAAGGGCTTTCTTGTGTCAATCGTATTGTATTTAAATATAGATGTATTTTGGCATTGGAGATGATTCTTTGTTAATAACTCACCAACGTTCCACTTTATGGGACTGTACGGAACTTATTCGGGCTAGTAGGGGGACTGAATCTCATATTATTACAATAAACCTCACAGTGGTCCAAAAGCTGTTGTTACGTGAGCTGCTCTCTTGACTCATTATGTGACGCATGGACCAGACAAAAGGTGCCACTGTGGGAGGTACCTGACAAAGGACGTCAGAGGACAGGCTGAGCAGACTGAGGACGTTCTGCTCGTACCAGGGGTCCATCATGCCCAACATCTGGGCTATGTCATTGGTGCTGTCCTCCAGCACACTGCCGTTAGACTCCTGTCAGAATGAAAGAATAAAAGGTGGTAATGCTGACTTATTGCAGCAAATATGATGGCTTACCCTTCATTAATTACTCTATTAATGACTCACCAGCCAGGGATTTTTTTCAATTTCTTGCAACCTAAATGTTGCTTTAATGAATGCTTTATAACTGACCGATAAAACCTGATAAAGCCATTACAAAGGCTGCTTTATTAGAAAGTTGTACTGCATCTATGAATGCATAGAAATTGTAAATATATATATATATATATATGTATATGCACACACACATACAGGTGTAAGCGGCAGAGACAGATGTTCTCACCACAGAGGCAGCAGCTCTGGTTGAACTTCCTATCGGCCCTTCGGTTGGTGTGTGTCCTCCTCCCGTGCTTCCCGTAGTTCTCCTTTTGGTTGGAACAAAGTAAAACTGCAGCTTGCATGTCTTGGTGAGTCGGGGACATTTACTCTCTTTCTGCTGCAGGTCGCTGTACGCCCTGGCCAGCCTGCCAGCTTCTTTGTCACCTCCAAACACCACCACTTTGACCAGCGTGGGCACCTCCACCGCATCGAAGTCGTCCCAGCTCAGGATGGGCCTCCTGCGGACGCACATGTGCTTCCGGGGGGACAGGGGATCCTTGTCTAGAGGGTGGACTTGTCTGGACAGGGACCTGGAGTTTTTAAACTCTCTTTGAACGTCTTTGGTAGAATCACCACGGTGGCCCAAACTCTGGACCCGGCGGCAAATGCTTGGGCTGCGGGGGGCATTGAAAAACATGGAGATGCGCTCTACGCCTAGGATGGATCTGGACTTCTTTTTGGGTTTCTTTCTAAGCTTCGGTTGGCTATCCGGTCCTCCCACTGTGTCCTCGTGCGTCGTGTCCACGCTGACATCACTTTCCACGCCTGATGAGGCAGACGGCGTGGAGAGCGCAGAACAGCTGGAGGAGAGAGAGTAGCCGGAGTCCCTCGAGGACGAGGACGCGGTGGAGACCCGGTTGCTCTGAAACTCATGGTCCACTTTGTCTCCCTCCGCCTCGTCTTCCTCATCCACACTGGTGTCGATGTTATCATCCTCATCCATTTCGGTTTTAGGGAAACAGTCTGGAGGTGAGTCCAGGTCGGACTCGATGGAGAGAATGTCGTTCAAAACATCTGCATGAATGTAAAGGAGATGAGAGAGCAGAGAGGTTTGTGCAGTTAAAGATAAATATCTGCTAAATAATGCAGGAGAGTTGTTCAAACTCAACTAATTACCAAAGTTGTTGTTTTCCCAGGAGCATGTGTGACATTTGGGGAAGGGCAGCATGAAAGTCTTAACAGCCCCTAATGAGAGGAAGTCACATTCAGGTTAAGGAAGCACTAACAATCTTGAAAAGATCCCACATTCATCAACCTCATGCTCACATTATTGGTCTTACCAGTATCTGTGCAGCCATTATTAAGAGCAGGAACAGCAAGGCTGTCTCTGAGCCTCTCCATGCTGAGCAGTAGAGCTTGTCTAGCTGTCCTGGGATCTTCCGTAGAGGCTGCCGTCTCCATGCAGTCGGTCACTGCCTCCGCGAGCTGTGCCAGCTCCTCGGGCCGCTTCGTCTGGAGGAACATCAGGCAGTTTGTTTTAGGGAGAAACTAGAAAGACAGAATAAAGAGGAAGCATGCATCCCAAGGTCGGTCACCTGCAGGGCAGTGTGGAGCGCCCGCTGGTCGCGGCTGGCGCCCAGAGCAGCCTGAAAGCTGTGCAGAATGAGGACGATGGTGGCGTCTCTGCTGGAGTGCTGGGTGCTGCTCAGCTGCTCTGAGACGGACTGGACCTCTGGAGGGACGTGCTCATCTGGGTTCACCAACAGCACCGTGCTGATAAGATACACGCACACATACGCCGTCACATACAAGGAGATCTCACTCAAGATTCAAATGTTCACTCCTAAAAAAAGCTGTTGAGTTTGAAGTGCAATGAGGAAGTTTAAAGAGTTCACCCAAAAATCTGAAAAATACATATTTTTCCTCTCGCCTTTAGTGCTATTAAGAGTACCATCTAGTCCCATTATATAGGAGTTATATCCCATTACATACGGCCAATATCCCCCAAACTAGGCAACTCACATCAAAACAATCCATATGGATAAATAGCACCACAGATGAGAGGAAAAATTATGTGTTTTTTGATTTTTGGGGACAACTTCCTCTTTAACATGTTTGGAAATAACAGCCATATTTAGCTTATTTTAATAGCTGTCGATAGCTATGAACTTACATGGTTTTGGGGCAGTGAATCTCAGGGGAAATACCCTGCTCGGTCCGAACCAGTCTTTGAAATGAAATTCCTAAAACAAAAGTACAACAGCGGTATTTAGTATTAGTTAGTGGGTAAACACTGCCCCCTTATGATCACACTGATAGATGAAGAATGCCCCCAAATGTACCAACACAGCCCTGTCAGAAGTACCACCCCATCAACGCCACCAGACATGTTATCAAGGTGACTGACTATATACATGCAAAAACCTTTAACGTAGAAGTATTCACTAGTTTAAACTTTCGATACTGGACAGAAAACAGCGAGGTGACGTTGGGCCCATTTCCTTTGCAACTGCATTGAGAGCGTCAGCGCTACCTGGTGCTCTGAGCTCCTTCTGGATGATTTTCAGCAGGCGTTTACTGGCAGAGCTGCAAGGCTCCGGCCAGGCCAGGAAACTGTGGAACAACAGGTAGGCCTCCTGCAGCACGCCGCAGTCCGGAGCCACATGAGGAGCCTGAGGAGAAACCAGACGTAAACCAGGTTAAATAAGAAACGGAATAAGAGTCTGTGCTTTTTTCTGACACCCACTCACTTTGAGGAGGGTGGAAGAGAACAGGAGCGTGAGGGGCACCACCAGTTCATACCGACACTGCTCGAGCACCTGTAAAAAAAGATAGGAAAAGAAATCACGAGATAAAACACGCCGTCACTTCTCGTTTCCCATTGAACATCTTTGGAAGAATGATGTTTTTCAGCTCTTGACCTCTGTTGTTTTCCTCAGTATTTTCTGTAGAAGGATGAGGAAGTTGTGGGGATCTCTCTTCACAAGTTCCTCCAAACACCAGCGGTTTATGCACAGCCCAGCTGATCAGAAAGACAGAAACACAGAATGCTTATTTCTCCTTTTAGGTTTGATCCTAACAACAGGCAGTAAACACGCTGTTTAGACGCAAATGTTCACGACTAATATTCAGAGAAGGAAAACTAAATGATTACGTTACTGTCCCTTGTTGCCAAAGGTCTGAATGAAGTCTTTCAACATGATACTCCTCCATACTGTCTGTCACTCCTCCTTCTGTGTGTCACCACTTTCAATTCCCGTTTGTCTCTATAAGGACAGTATGTTCCTGAAGGGTTCGCCAGGGTGCGTGTTGTAAAGATTTAAAGCGAGAAACTACAGGCAAAAATATTTGTTTTCATGCACTGACCGATTTTGAGATTTTGGGCTATTGGACTAATGGAAAGAAAACATTCAAAATACACATTGACATGTTTTTTACTACACTTTGTCTATTTGCGTTTGTAGATTTATCCTAAATTCACCAAACGTTATTATTAGATAACGCCCCATTTGCATATTTTCCATGAAATTTTAGAAAACTTGTACTACAAAAAATTATTGTCTTAACGTAAGTAATCACCTGGGGAAGTTTCATGGTGATATCTATGAGTTTAATGTTTTTACACGATTCACCTCTAGCATCATACATACAATAGTTTTTTCTCCGACTCTGAGCCAGAAATCTCCGCTTCAGCAGCACAAACATACACCAAACTTTCCAGTTTCACTTGTTATAGAACATTATAAACGTATACATAATGCAACATTTTTTATGTTGTGGCTGTTAAGAGTATTTTCTGATTTATAGAGTGATACAAAGAGATACCAAAAATTCCCCTCAGTCCAAACCTTTGATTCTAACATGTCAACAAAATGGAACAATAATTTTAAATCCTGTCTTTACCCAATTTATACATTTCTGTTCTGGAAACGTATGCAAATTAGCACATATCTCATAAGATAATGCATCATTTAGATAATTGAAACTACATTTTCAGAAAACTAGCTGTACAAAAAATAATTGTCTTAAAGCCAGTAATCAACTGGGGAAGTTTAAAGGTGATATTAGTTAAGGTTTTTACACTATTCATGTACAAATTGGATCTAACATATCGTCTGTACTTTTCGCCTGCTGTATGTTTCTGATGTGAATTGATGACCCAAGTCAAGTCACATTTCCAGCACTGATTTTGTTTTGCGTTGCCCCTAAAGGCAGGTGTGGGATCGGGTCTCACCGTTCCAGAGTTGTTTGTCAGGAGTGTCGAGGCCCAGGCCACTGAGGCAGCGCTCAAGGACATGCTGGATGCGATCCTCCGTGCACGAGCTCTGCTCCATTTTCGGCATCATCTTCTGCTGAGGCATCGCAACATCCACAGAAAAACACAGGAGATGAACCAGCAGGGAAGTCCCAAAGTAAAAACAAGAATCACACCCTATTATTGTGTTCCGGTAAACCAATATATTGTGTCTCTTAATTAGTCCAAACTTCCTGTTACTGCTGTTGCCAAGTCTTTATAATCATTATTGTTCCTCCGCGGAGACAACCAAACAGAGTTCCAAACACAAATGTCCACAGCAGAGACGTCAGGACATGAAATACAGCGTGCCACTTCCTACTGAAAGCGGTGAGTCACAGACTGTGTGAGCAGACCGGAGATGAGCTGGTCGAAAACAGCAGCCACAACTTCTTCTTCTTCGTCTCTATTTCTACTTCATTCTTAAAATCAGCTGCTGAAAAACCCACATTCCATATGACTCAAGGCAGGATGGAAATGAATCTTGTCGAAGGACAACTTCCCATTTCATCCTTATTCCTCTTCTAAACGAGCAAAGACACAAGTGTGGGTGTTTCATAGTAAAGTCTGTAAAGTCAAAGTAAAAGAATCGTGCAAAAGACACACATTCCTGGAAATTTGCTTACTATAAATGAAATGACAACTGTGGTTATAGGGTTCATACGCATTTGAAGACAAACAACTAAAACCACACTGACCGCACAGAGAAACAATAACGTCTCATTGAGGCAAGGCCTGTTTCAATGACTATTGTGATTCATTTAAAAAGAAATAAATAAATAAGACTGCCATGAGATATCTCTGTTGATGAGAAAAAAAATATTTTCCTCATAAGTATATTCGACTTCCAGGATGTCGATGTGCATACGGAAGCTGCAATTGTGCCCAGCTGTGGAACGATGTGTCGCTGTGACCAGTGTTGAATAATGTGTGTAGTGACACAACTGGAAAACTGGGGGGTCACCTGCGCCGGTCAAAACAGGAAAAGGCCTTCCGGGAAGCACTGATGCAACGTTAAGAAGGGACAGAGGGAGAAACTGCTTCTTGACTAGTTGAAATATATTCAATGAAGAGTGTGTGCACTGTATTGTAGAGCAGTAGTAGCCCTTTATATTGATTTTCAACTGGGTTAATAAACACTAATAACTATATTAAAGTGGGCATTGTTACAATTTACTGTCAGTGGTGGGTTGCTTTGGTCAAGTTTAGCATTTGTAAGAATGTTTCAACCATTTATCCATTAATTAAGCTAAGTATTTAACTAACTGCTTCAACAGGTTTATTTATTACTTCAGGTTAACTATTTTAACTGTTTGGGCAAAACTTAAGGCTAACCTAACTGTTTCAACCGTTTTAGCCGTTTCTTTTAGCTCTCTATTTCAACATCTTGTCCATTACTTTTTACCTGTTTCAACAGTTTTAGCTATTATTTTAGGCTAACTGTTTCGACTATTTTATCCAGTACTTCAAGCTAGCAATTTAAACTGCTCCTCCAGTACTTTTAGCCATATATTTCAGCTCTTTAATGTTGTCTATTCATTTTAGCTAACTATTTCAATTGTTTATTCAGTACTTTGAGCTAACAATTTGAAATGTTTAGCTAGTTAGCTAATTCCTAGTTTTTGCTCGCTGTCAAAACATGTAGCATTAGAGCTCAGCAGTTCCAGCTGACTCATATGTGGATATTCTTTTACCATATTTGTTGTATTTGAAACTGCAGAAGTAACTTAAATTCACCTTACAAAAAACACTAGCTGGGGTTATCTAATAACAGGCTATAAGTGATGCTATTCAGCCAAGGTTTTTGTGACAGTCTAACAGTAAAATAAGTTCAAGCTTGTGAACTGCAAAGCATGACATGATTATATTCACATACTGCATATTAAAGCATGAGGACAAGCATATTTGCAGTAGGAGCGCAGAGAGCAGCTCTGTACTCTAGGGTTACTTGCATATCCAGCTTTTGTAAGCAGGTCAATTCAATCAATTGTTTACTGAGGAAGCAGGTGTTACACCATTGTATGTTGTCAGGCTATATTGTTCAGCCATGCAAAGCCTATACTGCCACAATACAAACTCTCATCTCTCATTGGTTCTCTTAAAACATTAAGATTTAAATGTGAGTGTTGCTTTAATTGCCCAATTGGAGGGAGGACCATCTTTAAAATATTTAGCCGAACAAACTTGATGTAATTCTGAATGCACCGTTAATAGCCTTCAGCAGCTTTTAAAAGAAGGGGAACAGGAAATCTGCAGAGCTTGAATGACTTTGCAGTTAGATGTGATGGAAGTTGTGCAACAGAGGCGTGTTCCTATACTAGAAAGAGAGGAAATGGTCAAAATACCGCCAACCTGAGACAAGCATGGATGAGACATGCGATACAGATACATGGAACGTACTGTAAACATGTTGAGGCGCAAAAAGAGATTGAAAATGATGAAGTACGAGCCATAAATCTTACCTATATCTGCAGTTATTAGCGTCTTAGATCAATCCCAGATCAACACACCAGCAGCAGAGGGGAAACAATACAGAGACCACATCCTCCTGCGTTGGTGCTTCTCAAAAATAGACCCTCCGACAGTCAGAGTCAGAGAGCGTGTGCTGCAAAACAGGAACTGAATGAATCTGGTTAAAATGCTGTAAGCAAATCTACTAGTGTCGTGGGAGGAGTCTTTTTACATGACATACCTCGTTTGTTTAGAGCAACACACCTGGTCATGGATTTGATGGCGCAGGCTATCAGTTTATGTTTTAATATTTCACTCTGTTTTGAGAAAATAAAAGCTAGAAGTAAACTAGTATTCATGCAAAATGTCCCAGATGTTTATAGTGAGCTGCTGTTTCGGCGTATTGTCTGTTCCACAGACACCTCGTGTTTGTTTGTCTCTGACGTTCATCACCGCTGATGGCAACAACTGGCAAAATATGTAAATGTGCAAATGCAAAGCGAAGCTTGTGTATTTTCACAGGCAGTGTGCTCAGAACAGCTTTTCTACTGTTCATACCCACACAGTTGGTTGAATTGAAATGAGAGTTTACATTAATGGTTGAAACCAGTTAAAAACGTTCAGCCCACATCATTATGGAAAATAACAATGACTTCATGACTTTTAAGGGCCAGTCAATGGTTCACAGTATTTACTTTCCCCTTGTTCAGATTGACAGCTTGCCTCTCTGGATATACAACAAGATGTTTGTGCAACACCTTGACTTCCTCCTGCACATTCTGCAGAAATGTGACCTATTTATTGGCTGCACAATGCAGATGCCACGCGTTTAATGCCACTACTTAAAAATCACAAGATTCCATTGCATCATAATTATCTGTATTGGTCGCCTAAAATGTTGACTAGTGTACCTTTTTTTTAACATGTAGTGTCAACAACCCGCCGGAAGATGTCGCCGCTCTCTCTCTCCCTCCGCAGAGACACTCAAAAAGGCTCCGACTCCTCTCCTCCAGACGAGGGGAACCCCTTTCCCCCTGCTATAACAGAGAGGGGAATGGGACAGACAGAGATAGAGGTGGGCAGAGGTGTGACTGAGAGGACAGGCAGAGGGACACTCGGAGCCAGCTGGGCTTTTGCCATTTCTTATTTATATTTAGGGAATATCAAAGAAGGGTGTGGGGGGGAGGTGAAAGGCTGAAGAACTATAGCGGCAGTTTTTTTTTGGCGTGCGTAAACGGGATAGGTTGTTCTCCACATTCTTAGGAGTTGCGCTTCACTTTCAGACTGAGCGGTTTATTTGGAGGCAGTGTCCTGGGTTTCTCTGCCTCGTAAGAATATTTCATTCACATTTCAATTTGTTACACGCTGCGCTAGTGCGTCCAAGTTTCCCAAATCTCTCAGAGCATCATTTGTCGTAACTGTTTTATACTTGTCTGGATTCTGCCTTTATCCTTGTTAATTCTAGTGTTATTAACTCTGGTTGTTTTGTTGTTGTTGTCTCCATCACATCTCAGCGCGCGGGTCCCCTGCGGTGCACGGATTACAATGCAAAGGATTTTGGAGGTTTGGGTCACCTTGGTGACGGTCACGGCGCTGACCGAGGGGGTCTTCGGAGGGTACGGGCTGAGCATGTTTGCCGCGCAGTCCTCCCCGCCGGACCCGTGCTACGACGAGAACGCCAACCCTCGGAGGTGCATCCCGGACTTCGTCAACTCCGCTTTCGGCAAGGACGTGCGCGTGTCCAGCACCTGCGGCGGCCCCGCCGCCAGGTACTGCGTGGTGGCCGAGAAGGAAGAGGAGCGGACGAGGGACTGTCACACGTGCGACGCCGCGGACCCCAAGAAGTCCCATCCACCCGCGTACCTGACGGACCTCAACAACCCGCACAACCTCACGTGCTGGCAGTCGGAGAACTACGCGCAGTTCCCGCAGAACGTCACGCTCACCCTGTCGCTGGGCAAGAAGTTCGAGGTGACCTACGTGAGCCTGCAGTTCTGCTCGCCTCGACCCGAGTCGATGGCCATCTACAAGTCCATGGACTACGGAAAGACGTGGGTGCCGTTCCAGTACTACTCGACCCAGTGCAAGAAAATGTACAACAGGCAGAACAAGGCCGCGATCACCAAGCAGAACGAGCAAGAGGCCATCTGCACGGACTCCCACACGGACATGCACCCTCTGACGGGCGGGCTCATCGCCTTCAGCACCCTGGACGGCAGGCCGTCGGCGCACGACTTCGACAACTCCCCTGTGCTGCAGGACTGGGTGACGGCCACCGACATCAAGGTGATCTTCAGCCGGCTGCACACGTTCGGAGACGAGAACGAGGACGACTCCGAGCTGGCCCGCGACTCCTACTTTTACGCCGTGTCTGACCTGCAGGTCGGGGGACGGTGCAAGTGCAACGGGCACGCGTCGAAGTGCGTCAAGGACAGAGAGGGGAACCTGGTGTGCGAGTGCAAGCACAACACGGCGGGACCGGAGTGCGACAGGTGCAAGCCCTTCCACTACGACCGGCCGTGGCAGCGCGCCACGGCGCGGGAGGCCAACGAGTGCGTCGGTAAGTGTCCCGTCACTGTGGAATTGTTTTTTTTTACTCTTAAAAATCTGTTGTTGAGTAATTATATTATTCGATATCTGAAAATAAAATAGGCAGCAGCATGATGTTCATTCGTTAATGGGGAGTTGATATATTTACTTTATTTCTTACCGCCAATGAATTTAAGATATACAGCTCTCGCTTAAAATTATAACGTTGTTGATTTTGCTCCACGAAAATGTTTGCGGCACAGATTAATATGATGGTGTAATTAATATGATTGTGGCTAAATGAATCATCTTAGTTGAGGCATAGAGAGAGAGAGAAGAAGGCCTCGAGCTGAAATCCCACAACCTAAACGGTGAAAGAACCATCAAGAATATTAAAATCAAAAGACTATGAATTATATATTTCAACTTAATTAAATTGATGAAAATAGTAAGTCGAAAACCAACCTGTCTGCTTGCTGGTATTCTTACAACTTTTAATTTGACCAAAATAAAGTAAACTACTTACATGAATTTACACAAAATACATAATTTAAATGTAAAGAGATTTCATATTATTTAGGAATAAATAAACTGCAAAATTGTTAAAGTAAATTGCAGAATTCAGCTATTGTATTTTGTAAGAGAAATGTAATTGTATATTTATCAAAATCAGATCGGCCTCTTCAAGTGCACACAATTCAGTTCACTTATTATAGACATTGTTCAAAATAAAGGTCCGAGGCTATATTTCCTGCATGCCGAGAAAGAATAAGAAAACCTAAGTGTTGTTTCCATCTCTCAGAAGCTCAATGTTTTGTCCAGAAGCCTTAACAAATGCGTGCACTTTGTTGACCCCCTGATTTTTATCAACGTCCAGCAGAAAAGAAAGGGCCGGAAGTGGTTTCAACAAAGTGCGCCTGTGCCAATGCGTAATTGCGTTTTGACCTGCGCTTCTGACTGTAGTAGCGCTAACAGGAGAGGAAACATTGCGGCTGCGGAGATAGACTGCAGGGGCGTGTTGTGCTTCCATAAGCAGGTGCTATTACAGATTGGACCACCGATTAAGGCGGTTTTATTGACATTTTTGGCACGTAGAGTATAAACTGCCACTTTAGAGCCAGTAAACTATTCACGGAGGACAAAGCCAGAGGTAATTTGAAGTTTTTTTATTTTATTCTAGCAGCACTACCGAGCGAGTGTATTTGCTGTGATGCTTATTTTCAACAGAGGAGGGGGGGCTTATATCAACAGCTCAACACCCCCCCCCCCCCCCCCCCCCCCCCCCCCCCACCCCGCCCACCACACACCCCGACACTGCC